ATTCCACGATAATTAAAAACACTTTCTTTAGACGACAGAATGTGGTTTTCAACATTAAAGGTGAAGTGTTTAAACGGACAGTCTGGAATTTTGGACATAGGACCTCATTTCCTAGTGAACCAGAGTGTTGGAGACTTGTGGAGACACTTTTTTAAAATATTCCATCCAATTATTGTATTTGAAGAGGTCGCTGGTGCTAGGCTAGTGCATGTCAATGGCCATAGTTATCCTGCCACTAAAACAGTCTTACCCACTTCACAAAACACCCGAAGTAAATCTATTATTACACCAGACTGTCCATGTGAATGTCTGTGTTGATAGAATAATGTTTGAAATAAAACTAACCTTACATCACATGAATCGTTGCATGTTGAGGGACTATTTTCTCATATATCAGTCCGCCGCTTTCAAGCTTTCTATCAGGAAGTACAACTCGCTGCTGCTCAGACATAAATCCTTCAAAATGCAAGGTTGGTTTTACTTCTAAAATTATTCTATCAACACAGACATTCACATGGACAGTCTGGAGTAATAAAAGATTTGTTTCGGGTGTTTTGTGGAGTGGGTAAGACTGTTTTTAGTGTCAGGATAACTATGGCCATTGACATGCACTAGCCTAGCACCAGCGACCTCTGCAAATACAAGGACTGGATGGAATATTTAAAAAAGTGTCACCACATCTCCAACACTAGGAAATGAGGCCCTGTGTCCAAAATTCCAAACTGTCCCTTTAACTTTTCTGGTTAAAGGACGGACTGCCTGATTGTTTCACAGACTGGCATTTTCTATCTTCATGGAGACATACAGGTAATGCCACTGGGCCAAGTTATTGGTCAGATGTGTGGCGAGGGAAGTCCAAACCTAAAGTAAGAATGAAAGCTTTTCCACGCATTATTGAGCCATAAATGCACATGCAATTGAGTAAATATTCAATAGATAAATTTAATGCCATAGTGTGGAACATTCCTGGCAACCCCAAACCATGCAAAGTGAACATACAGTAGTGTAACCTCAACCAGAGAAGTTACACAGTGCACCTTTAAGTCGTAGTACTTTCTTTTATATTACCACGGTCTTACATGTGTGTAATCCCTCAGTGGTCCAGGTAGGTTTCATTGTGGTCCATGGGCACATCGATTAGAATCTATTAATATCTGATTTTCAATACTTTTGGCAACCCAAGATAGTGGACCCTAATGTTATTTATATATCGTCATTGTGATGGGTTCTATTCACACTTACATCACAAAACCGGAAGACATTTGGAAACATGTGGATGGCGACTTCCTTTGGGCTCTACTGGGGAGAGTATCTCTGAGATAAAAGAATGAGAAGTTCACATCGATTACCAGAGATAGGTGCGCTGGAGAAAAATCCCGCACACCGTCTTACTTGCAAATTGTGAGATTTATTAGGACAAACTGTGCAACGTTTCAGCACTAGGCTTTCGTCAGGTAAACAGAATGAGAGCTCAGGTGGCCGTCTTAAATAGGGTGTGACAAGCGCCCAAGGGTGACACGTCATAAAGAAACAGTGCACTCAAAACCTCATAATTCAAAAAACAAAGACAATCAACATACAGTGTCATAACAATAATAATAAAATATTAATCATTAGTAGAAAAATCATTGACTAATAATAGAAAAAAAGAAGAAGAAGAATATCTGGATACATAGAGACATAGTATACATTCACCCAACTATAAAATAGGGGACCATGACCGTATACTTCAACAAAGAGAAGCATTTTGGATTCATATTCTCCAAACTTTAGCTCCAAAAGGACTCAGTGATGATTTCAATCTCAGCATCTTTTTATAGGCACTTGTTATATTATGAGTTCTCTCGCTTTGGGTGGGCTGTATATTGGCTATATTTTAAGATCCATTGTATATATATTAGGGGTGTCAAATTATCGCGTTAATTGCGATTAATTAATTACAGTCATATTTAGCGCGTTATGTTTTTTAATCGCGTTAATCTCATTTTTAATCTCTAACTTTACTGTTTCTGTATGCGAGTTGCTTTATTATAAAATCTGTTTTTATGCGTTGCTGGGACAACAACACACACACACAAAAACACATTTATACATTTTTTTATTTCGGTAATTCCACTCATTGCCGGAAACCCACACAAAACGCGCGCAGTAAGAGCGATGTAAACGTTATGGTAACGTTGGCGGCGTCAGTCTCAATGGACGAGGTCGAAGAGCCAGTAGAACAGGTGCACAGGTAAAAACACATTCGTGTCTTGGAAATTATTCTCCCGACGTAAAATATAAAAGAAAATAACAAATATAATATCGCCTGAAAACAACCTGCATAGGCTCATGATGTCTGCACTACTGTCCTATAGTGACCTGCCACATGAGGGGACACGCACACAAACACACACAAACACACACAAACACAAACACACACAAACACAAACACACACCTTCATCATCGTCATTACCCTGAGAACGCGCGGACCACGTTTCCTTCCGTAGACACTGCGCGGACACCGACGTGCTCCCGTGAGCCGCGTGTGGATCGTGTTTTCTCGCTACGCTGCGTAAACCGCGCTTCCTCCTGTGCGCCTCTAAACCAGAACTAACACCAAGACTAAAACCAGGACTAACCCAGTCCAGGACTAAACCAGGACTAAACCAGGACTAAACCAGAACTAAACCAGAACTAAAACCAGAACTCAAACCAGGTCTAAACTAGGACTAAACCAGGACTAAACCAGGTCTAAACCAGAACTAAAACCAGAATTAAAACCAGGGCTAAACCAGGACTAAACCAGGACTAAACCAGAACTAAAACCAGAACTAAAACCAGGTCTAAACCAGGACTAAACCAGGACTAAACCAGGTCTAAACCAGAACTAAAACCAGAATTAAAACCAGGTCTAAACCAGGACTAAACCAGGACTAAACCAGAACTAAACCAGAACTAACACCAGGACTAACACCAGGACTAAAACCAGGATTAATCCATTCCAGGACTAAACTAAGTAGTACTAAAGTAGGACTAAAGCAGGTCTAAACCAGGACTAAAACAAGGACTAAAACCAGTGATCTAAGAGAAAAAATATATAAATAGTAACAATAATTTCAAAATAAGTAGTCAGTTCAGAATTAAAAGTGCACATGACAGGTTTTTCAAATTCTTACTTAACATGGTGAGGTAGTGTCTGTGGTAAATATCTATCATATTTTTACATCAGTTAAGTGGTGGCTTATGGGAAAACAAGTAGAAAAGTACAAAATGCAGGAAGTAGCTGAGTTTTAAAATACCTCTAACTGTCATGAACACGAAAAAACTTCTAAAATGCAATGACAGTGTAGATGCATAAGGAAGGCATTTTTCTGCCAGTTTAAAAACTTCATTTAACAAAATAAATAAAGGTGCTGTTGTTAATTTGTATTAGTCTAATCATAACTATTGTGTAATTTAGACACATTTTGGCCCTTGGTAACATTACGGTTGCTAGGTAAGAGTTATGGAATACCTCAGCGTATGTCATACCTATTGCCCGTGTCTAACTAAGAAATAAAATTATAAACTTCACCAAAATTAAAAATAAAAAGTTTACAGTATTTTGTGTATTTAATAGTCTGACTTGTCACATGTACTTTAAAGCTGCATTGTGTAACTTTTCTGGTGGAGGATCCATCAAATGCTTTTCTCCATGGAGATGTTATTGCTTTGTCTGGATTGTTTCACAGTGTGGTATTAAACCTTTCTGTCTTCATGGAGACCAAAGCAGACCAAGTTATAGATCAGATCTGTGGAGAGGCGACCCTGCTCACAGTCAGAATGTCTGTTTCTCTAGGTATTTTTGAGCTGTAAAACCATCTGTAACTGAATAAATGTAAGATAAAGCTGTTTAATGTCACACTGTATAACATTCCAGGCAGAGCAATGACATATCCATAGAAACAAGCAGGTGATGGACCCCCAACCAAAATGTGACAAAGTGCACCTTTAAATGAGTTACACAGTGAATAAAAATAAAGAACTATGGGTGGTTAGAAACCGCAGAAACTCCAACAATTAATAATAATAAAAATGAACTGGATTTATAACAGAGTTGTGGATTTTATTATTTTATTATTGATGATGATTTGAACTTGACTTGATGCTTCTCCTCAAATAATACTAAATAATACTACTCAAATAAGATTCATACATTCAAATAATGGTTAGATGTGATCTATTTCTGTGCCTCATTTGACTGGGACAAAGAAGAGCATGTTTCTCTCTTTTCTCTTTGTGACCAGGACTTCTACGACTGATAGTTTCACAAAATCTTACTTATGGCTAGGGTGAGTATCGTATTGCATTGCATTCCTTGTAGGGTAATTCGGTCACCAGCCTTCAGGTTCCTGGGTAAAGATGTCACCATTGTTGTTCCATTTGTATCCTGGCTCAGTGCTCTAGGCCATTTGTTTTTGTCTCGTACTTCCAGTATTTTGACATTACTCACATGCTTCTCCAGCTGACTCACTCTAAACTTAAAGATCTTAAACGTACTCTTGTCTTCTGAGTTATATTATGTTGTTACCTCTTCAGAAACATACCTGGAGTTGTGTTTTGTTTCATTCTCACATATTTGAATAACCCTTTATTATTATATGTTTACATCTGCAAAGCTCAAAATGCTCTGTACCACCTTGTGATGTCATGAAGTTTCCAAGTTAACAGCTACCTTTTACCTTAAGTTGAGTAAACATTGGCAATTCCTGAGCTGAAATCATCCAAATGATACTAGTGAAGGTGCATGGAGTTTAAAGGATGCATGGAGAGGGGAGGAGGAGGCACAGGCACAAGTGTAGTGACAGAAAACCAGTTTGTTTGGGCATTTCCATGCGTTTCACAACAGCGGTGTTTCATGTGTTTTACCTCAGCACATGTGAATAGAGTGGATGGATCTGTGGGTTTTCTCAGACTGGTCTGACTGGATCTGACTCACCAAGTCTTGGACTAGATCAGGGACTTTGTAAAGATGGTCCAGACTTTAGTCACCGTGACAATGGCACCATGACAGAAAGAAAGGATTAACAGAATAACACTCGTGGAGCTATCTTACCAGGTAAGAATATGACTTTTTGAATCAAATTGAACACAAATCAAATATATAATTTCATAGGTTTCATAACTGTTGCCTGATGATTTATTCAAAAAATGTAGTTTTCAGTAGTTTTGATAGTATTTTCCTTAAAACAATAGTCAAATTGACTGTAAATGAGAGTTTATAAGCTGAATGGAGGTGACAGTACTTCAGTTAATTGTTTGTCCACTGTTCTGAAGTTTAGCCGTTTGAATCCCGCTTTTAACATAAACATCATTGGGAGAGAGGTAGGGGTGATTCTAGGCTTTCAAGTTTAGAAGTGCCTAGCACCAAGGAGTTAAGACAAGAGGAATGCATGCACCAAAAATACCATACCAAGTGTCCAAACACGCCATGCACTCTTTTTCTTACCCATCTCTCGCCATTTCTTTATATAAATCTATCCCTTTAGATCAGTGCTTCCCACATTAGCATATTTGGGTCTTACTTTGCAGTCTATTCCCTATTGTTTATCCTTCTCAGTCCTTCCTATAGGTACTATAAACTGTACTAATACTACTACTGTATTAAACTATGTTCCCAACTCTCCTTTTCTCTCACTCTAATTTTCTTTGTCTTTTATCCTGTCCATCATACAAGATGGACAGGATAGGTAGTAGGTTTAATATTTTATTAAAATACATTCAAAACATAAGTAAGATGTTAGCATCACATCATTTCACTTTTATACTACTGTATACAACAGACCTAACCTGTTAACCTTCTGTTTTCTGTACCAGGGATATATGAATCATAGTAGACAGCTTTGTGACTTTCACTGCCTGTTAATCTGGCTCTGAATCCTGTTTTTCTCTTTGGTCCGATAGACTGTAGTGTGTCAGCAGTCTGTCGATAGGAGGAGATAGAAAAGCTGTTTACAAAACCTTACAAAACACACCTGCCTGTGCGTGTGCGCAATGTGATTCTGACCAATCAGAGAAAGAGAAACAGGTCTTAGACCCCAAGATACTCAGTGCTGTGCGCTGGTGACTGCTCCACAGACAGAGGAGAGAAATGGGTATGAATGTGTGTGTGAAGTAACCCTTTGAAATGAGTTTTAATAATATTTAACAGACAGTGGATTAAGGATGATAAAGCGAGCAGCCTTATTCAGTTGTCTCTACGGAGTAAACGAATGAAAAATGGTCAGGGACATGTGGATGGAGGTGGGTCATGTGAGATTTCTTCTGACAGAGTGGGTCATCTGGGTGGAGGTCTGCAGAGGGGTGTAAGGCCTGAAGGTGGGTCCCCAGATGCTCACAAGGATCAGTTTGTTTACCAACCTAGATGGTAAAAATGATCCTATAGAAACAGCTGTATTACAAAGTCACTGTGGTCTTTCATTAAAGCGTCCAGTGTGTATGTGACTGTGTCTCACTGTGTGTGTCTCACTGTGTGTGTTTCACTGTGTGTGTGTGTTTCAGGTGATGGCTCGTATCAGGTGTCGCTGGAGGGCCTGCATGCTCTGCCTGTGCACGCCTTGCCTCTGTGTGCTGCTGCTGTTTCTCTACACAGCGGCCATGATGTCTGTGGCCATGAAGAAACATGTCGCAGGGGAAACTCCTCTGGGCAGCAGCATGGACGACTACATGGTTCCTCCAGAGATAAAAGCCCCTCCAGACCCCAATGACCGCTTCATCGCAGGAGGAGCAGTAAAGACTAAAAAGTATTCAGCTACACCCAAAGTATTCTGGGACAAAAACAAACAAGTAGCTCTGTGGAATCAGCTTCAAAAAGAGGTGGACGCTCAGTTGAACCCCATCCTGCGTCCAGGGGCCCCACAGACGGCCCCAGAGGCCTCTCTGCTCTCTCACTCTCTCTCTGAGCTCAGAGGCTTTAGACACAGCAGCCTCACTCAGCAGCTGCTGCTCTATGTGAGCTCCATGAGCAGAAGGCAGTACCCAGTGCTGCTGCAGCCCGAGGGTCAGTGTGGGGTAGGGGACACACAGGAGAGGGGCTCCACCCTGCTGCTCTTGGCCATCAAGACCTCAGCCCAAAACTACAGGAACAGGCAGGCCATCCGCCAGAGCTGGGGCCGGGGGGGCTTGGTGTACCCACAGAGGAGCGGGGCAGAGAGGAGGGGGGCTTATGTGCGCAGGCTCTTTCTGCTGGGCACAGAGCGCTCTCCTGACTTAAGGAACATGACCTCTGACCTTCTGCGTTTGGAGAGTCAACATTATGGAGACCTGCTGCAGTGGGACATGTGGGACAGTCCTCTGAACGGGAGCATGCAGCGGCTGCTCTTCTGGAGCTGGTTCAGAGACTCTTGTGGACACACGGCCTTCGTGTTGGAGGGGGACGATCAGTTGTTTGTCAACACACCAGCGCTGGTGTCTCTGCTCCAGGAGCAGCTGCACACGCCTCACCTGCAGGACTTCATGATGGGGAACGTGGTGGTTCGAGGTCGGCCCCAGAGGAACTCTCACTCTCAGGAGTTTATCCCCGAAAGCTTCTACAGAGGCTGGTACCCGATGTACGCCCGCGGGGAGGGGCGGGTGTCTTCTGCTCTGCTGCTCCAGCGCCTGCTGCAGGTTTCTGACAGGGTGCACCTGTTCCCCATTGAGCAGGTTTACGTTGGGATGTGTATGATCCGTCTGAACCTGTCACCCACACATCACCCTGCCTTCCTCCCCTCTGAGTGGACTAAAGAGGAGCAGGAGCCCTGTGCTGCTCACAGAGTGCTGCTGCTGCACACACACAGCCCCACACACATGCTGCAGCTATGGGAGCGCTCTAACACCCACACTGGACCCTGCGCCAACGCCACTGTGCTCCCCCTCACCACCAGGGGCACTAGACTCACCACTGAGGCAAGAGGGCACGTTTGGGGACATTAATGGTACAGTTTATGGAGAAGCTTAGAATAGAAGACAATTTAACAAATACCTGAAGTGTCCTATTCCACAGAGTCTTTCTGGAACTATTCACGAGGGCAAGTTTTTCAGGACATTCCTAGAAAAGCAGGAGCAGAATATTTATTTATTGTCTTACTGTATTTCTTATTCAGTATTTTTAATTACTTTGTGGATAAACTGTGTTATACAAATAAACTTACTTTGACTATAGACAGACTAAAAGAATGCTGATTCCAGTGCAGTGTGTGATGTCCCTGGGTGTGGTGCCGGTAAATGACTCAAATAAACATGTCCCTTTTCTTTTTACAGCTCCAGGACTCAACAGGTCTCAGTAATAGACAGTGTGTTCTCTCCAGTGGTTTCCTCACAAAAACTGTGTCATGTCAACTGCTGATCCTTTTTTTAGTGCCAGATATTATTAGGTATAATGGGCATTTAATGGGACAATGTAATGCTTTTCCCCTGCCTGTCCACTTCATAAATAAATAAATAAACACTAGGCCACGTCAGAAATAAAACACAAGATGTCTAAATAATCATTTCTAAACTTTGAAAAACTTGGGGCCCCCCATGACACATTACAAACAGCCCAGACAATACCTTGATGTCATTAGGAGTATAAGACATGATAAGCCAACTGTTAAAAGCCCTGTACCTGGTTTTTAAACGTGAAAAACGGAATTATTTCATTTTACACAGTTTGCAAAGTTAATCCCCTCTTACCTCATGCATTCGGAGCATCGTAATTATCCACCATGATGAGTTTATAAGAGCTTTTCACAACACTCATAGACTAAGAGCAAAGTATTTCCATCACTGTAATGCTAACAACAACTACCATGCTAACAGTGCACTTCCTGATTACAAGACAATTAAATACTTTCTAATAATATATGTGATATGTTATTCTATATGAGGGAGCGTTCAGCAGTTACCGTGGTGACACAATGCTAGCCCTAATAAACACTGTCAAAAAGTTTTAATCGTCTGAAATTCAAGAAAAAATATAAAATGGATTTAAGCTAAATATTTTCAGGAGCATGTGATCAATAGGAGCGTTCATGGTCCTGTTTAGGTGTTTGATTTACAACAAAAAAGGTGAGAGCGATGAACCGAAAAACATAAAATTTACATTAAAGAAGAAGAAAATAGAATAAAAAGCTTTCAGTCACATGCAGCTGATAAGAACTGTTTTGAGCCTGAACTTAAAGGACCCATATTACATTATTTTCTGATCTTTTCCATTGTTTCTGCCCTTTTGAATGACATTGTTAATATATTTCAGTTGTTTTCCGGTCATTTGTCTTTTCTTTTCTTCTTGATTTGCATGTGTGCTTAAGCATCACGACACTGGCATCGTGCCATTCATAAACATTCCTCAAATGACATCACAATTCAGAATGAGTTGAAAAGGATTTTAACCACAGCTAACTGATCATTAAAGCCACACCAGAACCACACACAGACTTTGCTTCTTTTCTGAGACGAGCTTCTGTACCTGCAACACTCACTAACACCACAGACTCAACAAGTGGAACAAATCATCGATAAAATGGTAAGATGAGTGCAATTTAAACCTAAATTTAAATGTAGAGATTATAATTGTGTCATTGTCAAGAGTCAAGAGCCGGTGTGACAGAGTGATCAGCCCTCCTGTCACTCTCCTGCAGGTTTAGTCATACGAGTCTTCCATGTGTGGTTCTCCTAAATCCTGAGTGTAAATAAACCTTAAATATGACTTGAATGTTATCTGTGAATTTTGGAGTTTCTTTAGGAACAATTCTGCATTTTTCCTCCTGTACCCCAAACGCCTCACTCGGACTACGCAGGGACCAGCTGTGTCTGTTGGAGCGGTTTTATTGTGTGACATTCTCATGAAAAGCTCTGCTGTGCTGTTGGGTCTCAGGCTTTGAGAGCTACACTTGTGTTCACATGATAACCATTTATTATGGAAAAAGCCTGCAGGGGGCAGCAGCATGCGGCGATAACAGACTGATGCTGTCCCTCCACAGTGCTCCACCTGCAGTGTGAACACCAAAATATTCTGGGAGGAAAATCACAATCAGACATTTCAAGACTAGTTTAAAAAAAATCAGTGGACCTTCTTTTCAGACAAGTCCATATGCAAGGTTTTGGGAATTTTCTAATTTCTATGTAATCTGGTGCTTTAATACCTGTTGTAAATATAAATTATAGTTTTATACCAAGAAGCACTTAGTGAAGAAAAGCTGAAAGATGTTGAAAATTACAAGTAGAGTTCTGTTTTATAGAGTTTCACATTGGTGACGTCACACTGTGGAAAATTTACCCAAAAGTTTGGCACAGTTTACATTAAAAACTATTTTTTTTGATACTTTAAAAATTATTTTAACAAAATAAATGTGTTTTCATATCATTGTATTTGTCAGTTTTGGCCTAGTGTAATGCATGGTTGGTAGGTAACAGTGGAATTCCCTAGTGTGATGTCACAATTTCCAACCAGGAAGTCAAATTTGAAACCTAAAAAATGGCCAAACTAGAGTACATCTTTAGTAAAATGAATAGTCTATACACTTTAATTCATTTGTCAGTCACACTCCCTTAACCATAACCAAGATCCAGGCCACATTTCTTTATATAGTAAATGTAAATGCGTCACCAACAGCCGCTCTGCAGTTTCCTAAAAAAATTATTTTTATTTTCAGCTGGAGAATCCAGTTTGTCCAGCAGTTTTTGATGCTGTCATTATGACTAAAGTTAATTTACTAAAAATAACATGAAATCTACGATTGAAAAGGTTAAATTTATCAGTCAACATAATTATAACATCATTTCATTATTTTTATTTTTGTAACTGAGTGTAACTGGTTTGATCACATACACATACACTCATACACAAACATGTACACACCCACACACGTTACTGGCATTGTGCCTACTGTTGTGTGTCCAATTGTTGATTAATAAAGTAACGTTAACATCAGGCAGAAAGAGTCTGGGTTTTAAAGAGTCATGTTCGTTTAGCCAAAAGGTCTGAAAACATCATCAAACAGCTCTGATTCACTAAAGTGGGATTTAGCTCAGAGCAGATGAGGTACAGCAGTAAAAGTGGAAAATGAATTAGTGACTCCAGAAACACTGACTGTGTATTTGAAGGTTCCACTGTGGACATCAGCTGCACAGACACCAGGAGCCTGGACCTGTGTTTACACTTCTTCTCCTGATGACGTTTCACTGTGTGTTTCACTGTGTGTGTGTGTGTGTGTGTGCGTGTGTGTGTGTGTGTGTGTGTGTGTGTGTGTGTGTGTGTGTGTGTGTGTGTGTGTGTGTGCGTGTGTGTGTGTGTGTGTGTGTGTGTGTGTGCGTGCGTGCGTGTGTGTGTGTGTGTGTGTGTGTGTGTGTGTGTGTGTGTTTCAGGTGATGGCTCATATCAGGTGTCGCTGGAGGGCCTGCATGCTCTGCCTGTGCACGTCCTGCCTCTGTGTGCTGCTGCTGTTTCTCTACATGGTCATCATGATGTCTGTGGCCATGAAGAAACATGTCGCAGGGGAAGCTCCTCTGGGCAGCAGCATGGACGACTACATGGTTCCTCCGAAGATAAAAGCCCCTCCAGACCCCAATGACCGCTTTATCGCTACAGGAGCAGTAAAGACTAAAACGTATTCAGCTACACCCAAAGTATTCTGGGACAAAAACAAACAAGTAGCTCTGTGGAACCAGCTCCAGAAAGAGGTGGACGCTCAGTTGAACCCCATCCTGCGTCCAGGGGCCCCACAGACGGCCCCAGAGGCCTCTCTGCTCTCTCACTCTCTCTCTGAGCTCAGAGGCTTTAGACACAGCAGCCTCACTCAGCAGCTGCTGCTCTATGTGAGCTCCATGAGCAGAAGGCAGTACCCAGTGCTGCTGCAGCCCGAGGGTCAGTGTGGGGTAGGGGACACACAGGAGAGGGGCCCCACCCTGCTGCTCTTGGCCATCAAGACCTCAGCCCAAAACTACAGGAACAGGCAGGCCATCCGCCAGAGCTGGGGCCGGGGGGGCTTGGTGTACCCACAGAGGAGCGGGGCAGAGAGGAGGGGGGCTTATGTGCGCAGGCTCTTTCTGCTGGGCACAGAGCGCTCTCCTGACTTAAGGAACATGACCTCTGACCTCCTGCGTTTGGAGAGTCAACATTATGGAGACCTGCTGCAGTGGGACATGTGGGACAGTCCTCTGAACGGGAGCATGCAGCGGCTGCTCTTCTGGAGCTGGTTCAGAGACTCTTGTGGACACACGGCCTTCGTGTTGGAGGGGGACGATCAGTTGTTTGTCAACACTCCAGCGCTGGTGTCTCTGCTCCAGGAGCAGCTGCACACGCCTCACCTGCAGGACTTCATGATGGGGAACGTGGTGGTTCGAGGTCGGCCCCAGAGGAACTCTCACTCTCAGGAGTTTATCCCCGAAAGCTTCTACAGAGGCTGGTACCCGATGTACGCCCGCGGGGAGGGGCGGGTGTCTTCTGCTCTGCTGCTCCAGCGCCTGCTGCAGGTTTCTGACAGGGTGCACCTGTTCCCCATTGAGCAGGTTTACGTGGGGATGTGTATGATCCGTCTGAACCTGTCACCCACACATCACCCTGCCTTCCTCCCCTCTGAGTGGACTAAAGAGGAGCAGGAGCCCTGTGCTGCTCACAGAGTGCTGCTGCTGCACACACACAGCCCCACACACATGCTGCAGCTATGGGAGCGCTCTAACACCCACACTGGACCCTGCGCCAACGCCACTGTGCCCCCCTCACCACCAGGGGCACTAGACTCACCACTGAGGCAAGAGGGCATGTTATGTTTTAGCCATGATGTATGGAGGAGCTTATAAAAAAAATTAACAAATACCTGGATTAATTAGTATTTAAATAACAGTGTTTGACACCCGTACATTCTCAGGGATGTATCTATCATAGGACGATGGGGACTATGATAGATAGTTCATTACTGTTTTTTTTTTTGTTTTTTTTTTTTTTTTATAGGACATCAAAGTTTATGTTTATGTAGTGGCAGTTTAACTCCAGAGTTTGCCACTTCAGCTGTGAAGTGGCTGTGTGGCTTTAGCTTGACTCATGTCTAAAATGAAAACCGAAAGATTCAATGTCCAAATTTACAGAATATTGGTTATGAGGTTTAATTAAAGATGCAGATTCCATAAATGAAGATTGCACAATATATCCAGTTCACACGGTCAAAAAAAACTGTATGGCCTTAACCCCCTACAGTTTCCACACAAAGAATAATCAGGCCACACAGGGCACCTGGCTTTGAGCCACCAGGCTCCACCCCCAAGGCTCCACTTCCAAGGCTCCACCCCCAAACACCTTGAACTAAATGTAGGACAAAAATGGCCGTTAACAGTTTATTATCTGTGTTTATCATGTTTATTATTTGTGTTTATCATGTTTATTATATCACAGATAATGATCTCACATTGACTCTTCTGCATGTTCCACTGTCATCACCATTGTATTAACTCATGTCACTGGATGGTGGAAGGTCCAGTTTTGGTTTCCTGCTTGTCCCCATGGAGATGTAGTTGTTTGCCTGTGTATTGCTTATATTGTTTTACTGATAAGAATTCTAAAGCTGATTTATTTGTAAGCATTAGACATGATGCCTCACATGACTCTCACTTAAGTTGTCAGTTTCAATGGTGAAATCCAGTTGGTTTAAAGCTAACATGCGTCTCTCTGATCTGAACGGTCACTACTTCAAGTCTACCCAGTCAATCATGAGTCAGTGGTAGTGCAGCCACTGCAGCTCAGGAAGTGAATTCTGGAGAGTTCCACATGAGTTTATAGAGATGTACATACTGTGGAGAGATGACCCCATTATAACAAGAATACACATTTATTTATTGCAGCAGGTCATTTACATATTGTTTTTTGTTTGTCACAAATTCTGTCATTCATGTGTTGCTAATTAAGACTAAGTGTAAAGTGATTTTGTTCAAAGTACCTTACTTAGAGTACTAGTATACTTTTACTCCTACTTGAGCAATGTTTTTTATTTAATAATAGTAAGTAAGGGTTTTGGTGGCTCTTCCCAGTGTAGTGTCTGTCCATTGAAAATACCAGTGCTTAATGTTTAGTCCTTCCATTTACAGTCACTTCAGATTATTTATACCACAGTAAACACATCCTCAACTGCCTCTTCATTTAAAACACTGAAATAACTAATTTCAGACATTTACAGAAAGGCTTTTCAGACTCAGATGAAATATTTCACCTTGTAACCATGGTAATAGCGCATTGAACATCTCGGAGCTGTGCATTCTGCAGTTTTCACACACTTCACGGACGAACATGGCAAGCGTTAAAACTGCTTAACGCACGGCTCCTTGTTTTTTAATGCTCACAAATCAGATGTTACCAATACCCTGAAAGTTACTCTTAGTGGTTACCCTTAGTAGTTTTATAAAATACTTTTTAACTCTTAATATTTTGGACCACTACTTTGTACTTCTACTTGAGTAATATTATTTTGAAGTAAAGTTACTCTAACTTGAGTATAATTGTTGGTCAATATGATCTCGTGCACCGTGCTCCATCTCCACTAGAGGCCGTCACAACCTTAATTCCTGTGGAAATTGACTTCATGAGCATTCAGCAAAAGCATAATAGTTTGTAGTTTAAAAAAGAGGAAAAAATAAATAAATTGAAGTTTGTTAGAATTCACAAACTCACAATGTCTGTTAATGTTAATCTCCCATATATTTGATAAAAAACACTGGTGTGTTTTAGAGAAATATTAAACAGCTAATTTCTTGTTTGTTCAAATATTTGGCAATGCATCAATATTAATGAATACACTTTTTATTATTAGGTCAAGTATTGGTGTCAGTGTGATGATTTTGGATTTACAATCTTCTAAATACAGAAAAGGAAAAAAAATAGAATATACCATAAGAAGCCAACATTGAAAAAAACATGTGAATTTTACTCCTTTGAATCAAGACAGTCCAGCAGAGCAATATTACAATGTTACCCAGTTTCGTCATTTTTGAAATATTGTGAATAGCCTGAAATTTGTCAATCCAGTTTATAGCTTTCCAAAAACTGCAAAAAGGAAATAGAAGTTTACATTATAATACAGTCTTTTATTGAGAGCCCAACAGTGACAGCTCAGATCAAGGTTTGTCCTCTGTCCTTTCCTTGTTTCCTTCATCATCTTCTAGCTCCTCTTCTCCTTCACTCTCCTCCTCTTCGCTCTCCTCCTCCTCGCTCTCACTGTAGTGGCAGTTGCGGTGGTTCGTGTTTACAAACAAGTCACTCTCGTCGTCCTCAGAGTCACTGTATTCACCCTCATCCTCTTCTTTATCATCATCTCCATTTTTCTCCTCTTCTGTCTTTTTGGGGTCAGTCGAGGTTTTGTCCTGCGCTGTGGCCTGGTCAGTGAATGCCTCTGGCCTGAAATGACAGCAGTGAACAATAATTAGTGGGGGTTTTCAAAAGACAAATATAAAATATAGTGCTCAAGAAGAATTAGAATATGGGTTTAAAAAAGCAAAACACTGCGATCTTGTCAACTGTTACCGTAAACATGCTTGTATATAGCAGTCTGAATTATGTAGACAAATTGTGCTCTACAAATAAACTTGCCTTGCCAAACATGGATACTTTCCAAAAGGTGTAATGCTAACTGTACTGTAACTTTGTCTGAGGCTTGGTTAAGACTTTAATCTGAGTTTATTTATTTTTTTCTTACATTACCATAAAGAGCTGTTAAACAAGTCCCTCTCAAATAACATTACAGTTTACAGTAAGTAAACTAGACGCAATAAGAGGCTGTGTTCATGTTCTAGAAATTTATTCTGTCATAATTTCAGATTCACGTTTGGTAGAACTATTCAAACTTATGATCCACCCATGTTGAACTTTATTATTATCTGTTGTTAGGGACTGGTTCTACAAACTTGCCATTGATCATGATAACACTAACACCTTTAGGGTCAGACATTGGGACCTCAAGCATATGGATCATGTCAGACTATCATATTATTATGTGTTTTTGCTTGATGTATGTACTTGGACATACCAGAGCTGTTGCTTCTGCAGATACTGGATGTGGTCTTTGTACAAAATGAAGCTGATCTCTGCCTTCACTTTTTCCCCTTCTTCAATCGGGTCCACGATAACAAAATCACCTGTACACAAATAAAAGAAGTTCTTAAAAGCTGTACTAAACAAAAAAGATGACAATATATTGGACTAAACAGATTAAAAAAGGATGCCACAATATGCATAGTTTAAAGGGCCTGTATTACACTAGTTTCTGATCTATCTGATAATGTTTCCTCATCACAAACAGACCTGGAGTTGTGTTTTACTTCATTTACACATGTTTAACACACAAACCCTGCACATTTGGTCTGAACTCTCTCTCATTAAACACTATTTCTCCTTGTGATGCCATGTGGTAATAGAGGAAGTGCTCCACTATGTTTTTTAACACCACACACTTTCACTAGAAGAATTTGGATGATTTCAGTTGTGGAATTGCCTATCTCTGCTAAACAAAAAGCAAAATATAGCTGTTCAACTTGGAAACCACTTCATTACATCACAAAGTGGAACTCATCATCTTGAAATTTGGTGATGTAGATAGATAAATAATAAAGGATTACTCAAACACGTGTGAATGAAACAAAACACAACTCCAGGTACGCTTTTGAGGAATTAACAACGTTATAACATGGGTAAAAGCTCACGAGAATTCATTCTGTGCAATATAGGTCCCTGAACAACAAAAAAGCAACATTACTATTAAATTGGTAAAAGAAAATGTTATATGAAAAGTATCTGTATCTAGAGGACTTCAGTCAGCACATGTTTACAATCGTATGACTTGGCGATTACTAAAATAACTTATAAGTTGTTAGTTGCAGCTTCATTAAAAACATTTTGTCATTGCTCACCTCTTTTGATCCAGATGTTTTTACGGAACTTCGTGGGCATGCTCACGAGGAAACTGTCCCCATCCGCGGTGACTATTTCATGCAGATTATTTCCCCGACTTCCAATCACCTGTCAGATTACAAACACCGAGGTAAATATTGGATACCCGGTTACAACAACACTTCAAATTATGAAAACCTACCTTTACTATTTGTTGATTTTCAGTCGGCGTTACGAAGTCTCCCAGAACCTCTTTGACGACGTGTTTGCGCTTTGTAGCTTGTGACATTATCTAAAATGATGTTTTACTCGATTTCCCCAACTGAAAAGTAAACGTTAGAGTCTATAGTTATTATAGAAAAGTAGGGAATCTTGTACAAATAAATGGAGAATGTTTCTACCATAAACAGGGCTATTATACTAGGTAGCAAACTATTTTATAACGTGGCCTAGTTACGTAACAAACTATTACCTTTTCAGATTGATATTTCCGATGTGACAGATTATTAATAAATCCAGTTTGAATGTTTTGTTAAAGAATTTAACAGTAAAATATGTCTCTGTACTTTGTCACTGCGGTAAACCCTCGTGGAGTCGGACCGGAATCACTAAACGCTCCATCGATACTTCGAAATAAAAGCACCTTATTTTATTACCTATAATAACTCTCACTTAATGTCACTAGTATATTATTTTTTATGAATAATATTTCTAATAATGTATATTTGGTCAGAAAAATATGTTTTAGTCCAAGTTATTAAGTGGTAGGCTTTTGGTGTGCTTTTATTTTTGTAGGTTTGAGGGAAAATTCGTTCTTATTCCGGATGTCAATGACTTGTGGGAAGTGGAGTCCTGAGCTGCATTCAAGAGCTCAGACGTTTTCTGGAAAAATCTGCAACATCTGTTAAACTGTACTTGAAGTGATGCAATAAAATAAATTAACTCTGCAATAGCATTAGGGTTAGAGCTCCATTTAGTCATTTAAATCTATTTGTGTTTATTTGTATGAAAATGTGTTTATTTTTACTTCAGAATTTGGCAGGAATTTCTGTCGATCTATATAGAGAGAGACTCTTGGTGATTGCTTTAATAATAAAATCAGGAATACAAATCATTTTAATTAAAAAAAAAAAATTATTCATCCTTATTTTACTTATTTTATAGTTTGAATACAGCAATGGCAAATTTCTCTTTGCATAATTAGATTTTTATGTGCACTTCAATAAAACTCACTCAAACACTTAACTTGGATAGCTACGGGTAAAATATTGCTTTAAAACAGATCAATGATTAATTGATTTCTTTTCACCAGAATAAAATAAAGAAGATATATGACACATTTCACTTTCCAACTTATCTTGTGGTTAAAACTAGCATCATCAGACTTAAATATCTGTTAATACTGACAGCAGGGGAGGTAGACAGGTGAAATATTCTTATGTTATATTTATGTGAGAATCAGTAGCATTGACATTGAAGGTGCTGGTGCCTGGCTTTGAATCCAGTTTGATGAGTGCTATTATGGAGATGTGAAATGTTTCAGTTGACCACAGCTGAAGAAGCCATTTTGTTTATTCCACAGGCGTTGGACCCTCTGTACAGGTAATAGTAACCCTGGAAATTAGAAAATTAACGGTTAATTATTTTATTTACTTATTAAAGGGCCCATATAATGCAAATTCTGATCTAAGTTATAATGTTGTTTCTTCATCACAAACAGACCTGAAGTTGTGTTTTGTTTCATTCACACGTTTAACACACAAACCCTGAATATTTAGGTTGAGTTCTTCTGAAAACACTCTGTTCCACCTTGTTTCAGCCTCGGAACTTCCAATCTCTACTGAACTAAAGGTAAAAAGTAGCTGTTAATTTGAAAACTTCATGACATCACAAGGTGGAACAGGGCATTTTGAGCTTTGGAGATGTAGAGAATAATAATAAATGGTTACTTAAACAAGTGTGAATGAAACAAAACACAGCTCAAAGTGTGTTTTTGATGAGTAACAACATTATAACAAGGCTTAAACCTCACAAGAATCCATTTTGTGTAATATAGAACCTTTGAATAAAAATTTTACCTTGACAGAAATTTCTTAACATTTGCCAAGAATCTATACCAACTAAATAAATCTGCATGTATGTTTATGTATATTTGTATACATTTGTAGCTTGTATATTTGGTTCAGTCCTGGTGCACTCCTGTTTTAGTCCTGGTTTAGTCCTGTCTTTGAGCTGGTTTAGTCCTGGTGCAGTCCTGATTTAATCCAGATTTAGTTCCTGGTTTAGTTTTGTTATTTGTCCTGGTTTAGTCCAGGTTTAGTTCAAGGTTTAGTCTTAAGTTGGTCTCAAGTCTGATGTGGTGCTTGTACAAGTATAAACTAGTCCTTAGACTGATATTGTAAGTACTTTTTAATAGGGCTGATGAAATAATTAGGACTTAATTTTAAAATAGAATATTTTTTACCTGCTCCCCATAATCCTCTCCCCAGCTGTTTTTGATGGCCCAGAATGGCACACCATTACCTATTAAAACAATTAGATAGAATACATGTAAATTAAAAGGTTTATAATGTCTCAAAATACAGCCTCAGATGAATGGATAGTGTTTCATATCACTTACGATTTCCATATCCAACCATGAGCACAGCGTGGTCAATCATCCAGGGGTTACAGAAGATTTTCAGAGGGTGTGATACTCCCCGTCGGTAAAACTACTCACATTTGAACAGTGAAGAAAAACACGGTATAAATAAGTGAATTAATACTATTGTTTGTGTTTTTGAGCCACAGACAAAGTGCTCACCTGCATCGCAAACGCATTCAGAGCCACAGACAATGGTCCATGTTCAGCCAACCAAGCAGCGATTTCTGAAAAGTAAAGAAATGTTATTGTGTTGTACTCTAACTAATGTATTCAAAACTTAAAGGTGCACTGTGTAACTTGTCCAGTGGAGGGTCTGTCATCTGCTTGTCTCCATGGAGATGTGTCTAGACCAGGGGTCAGCAACCCGCGGGTCCAGAGCCACATGCAGTTCTTTAGCACCCCCTAGTGGCTCCCTGTAGCTTTTTCAAAAATGAGTGAAAATGGAAAAGGAATGATTTTTTTGTTGTTGTTTTAATATGGTTTCTTTAGGGGTAAAACCCTCGTTCATCTCTGGTCATGGATCTGATCCATCAGCTGTGTGTGCAAATGCAAACACATGAAAAGTGTTTCAGCAGAACAAATAGATGAGCTGAAGTGGGGGTGGTGTCCGGTGCCTCCACCTGAGAAGCGCTTTCCCCCCAAAAAAACAAAACAAAAAAACACGTGCGCAGACGGACGCTCAGAACAACATAACGAACCAAACAGGATTCATGCTTCTGTCCGTATGCTTTGCACCACCTCGGAACAAGCCGCGGTCGAGCGCGGAGGACCGGAGCAACCCGCCCGGACCTGTGGTCCACAGCGCATTCTCACTTTTACCGCACGGAACCAGCGCACAGATGACTGTGCAGCGCAGTCGTCTGGTTCGGAGGTGGTGCAAAGCATCCGGACAGAAGCGTGAATCCCGTTTGGTTCGTTATATGTTGTTCTGAGCGGTCCGTCTGCGCACGTGTTTTTTTGTTTGTTTTTTTTGGGGGGAAAGCGCTTCTCAGGTGGAGGCACCGGACAACACCCCCCACTTCAGCTCATCTATTTGTTCTGCTAAAACACTTTTCATGTGTTTGCATTTGCACATACAGCTGATGGATCAATCCATGACCAGAGATGAACGAGGGCTCAGAGTTCAGTGATTTTACCACTTCTTTAACAGATCTCCGGAGAAGCGAGCCGCTCACTAATGCCTGTTTTTCAAGGTATTTGTGAGTAATACTTAGAACTGTAATAAAATAAATGCTACAGGTTTGAGTCTAATCCAGGTGCTCCCAGAGGCTCGGTGTAGTTATAACGGCATTCGATGGCGTATTTATCTGGGTTGATGTAAACGTTAACTTTTTTGAAAACGATGCTGTGTGCACGATGTTATTTTGGAAAACGGAGGGAGAGAAATATTCGTTTCTCAAAATACCCGTGTACGTGTAAACGGGGCCTAAATGACAAAGGAATAAACACTAACCACCTGATTTCAGTGGCTACAGACAGCGCACCGAGTATGAGAGGGTCGCAAAAGGGGTTTGTGTAATCATGAATGCTCATTTTGTATTTGTAGCCTACTTAGTCATTTTAATAGTAGACTTATATAGCTAATACACTGACAGCCTATGTTGCCTTCATATTAGGCTTATATAAGGCTTTAATTTTTTTGCGGCTCCAGGCAGGTATGGTTTTTGTTTTTTTGGGCCAATATGGCTCTTTGAACATTTTGGGTTGCCGACCCCTGGTCTAGAATGTTCCACAGTATGGCCATAAATCTCTATGGAGACTTGTAAGCCAAATTAGAAAGTTAGATTGTGGAGAGGCGACCCCCATCACAGTAAGAATTAATGTTTTTTAAGATATTTTCAAGCAATAAATAACACATGTACCGTATTTTCCGGGCTATTAGGCGCCCTGGATTATAAAACGTCATTGAATCGTCTATTTTCGAACTTTTTTCACAAATAAACCGCACTGGACTTTAAAGGAAACACAACAGTTCGATGACTCAGTCAGACTTTGTTTGGTACGTTCATGGTGACTCTCGGCTTTGTTCAGTTGTGGCGTGTAGGGAGGGTGCTGTCTGGGATCACTGGATTGCTGACGTGTTCGCAGTGACTCAGTTGTTCAGTTGTGGCACATTGGACTCGCTTTTTCGGTTCGTTCCTCTGTTCCGTTCCTCGTCAGCGTGGAGTGATGAGTGTGGCTGCGGGTGTTTTTCGCTGTGCGCGTCTAATAGCCCGGAAAATACGGTAGTTGAATAAATGCAAGACAGATTAGTTTAATACTGTGACCAATTTAAACCAAAGCATTAACATCTCCATAGAGACAAAGAGGTTGTGGCCCCTCTCCAGAATAGCTACACAGTGCACCTTTAACACACTGTTAACTGTTTAAAGATGAACTACAGTATGTAACTTTTTTGTTGAGAGTCCACCATCCACTTGACTCCATGTAGAGAATCTTCCACAGTATGACATTAAACATATCTATCCCATGTATATACTAGTATTCATATGTATTCATTTACAGGTATACAGTATCTTGCAAAACATGCATTCTTACTGTGAGCGGGGTTGCCTTACCACAGATCTGACCAGTAAATTGGTAAAGGTAAGCTGCTTGTCTTCGTGGAGATAAATATGTTTAATGCCATACTGTGCAACATTCCAGGAAAAGCAACAATGGGTAATGAGCAAACCATGGATGCTGGACTCTCTACTTAAAGGTGCACTATGTAACTTTTTGGTTGAGGGTCTGTCACCTGCTTGTTTCTATGGATATGTCATTGCTCTGCCTGGAATGTTCCACAGTATTACATTAAGCAGCTCTACATTACATTTATTAAATTACAAGTGGTTTTATAGCTCAAAAATACCTAAAAAAATCAGGCATTCTGACTGTGAGCGGGGCTGCCTCTCCACAGATCTGACTTGTAACTTGGTCCGGTTTAGTCTCCATGAACGGTTTAATACCAAACAGTGAAATATTCCAGACAAAGCAATATACAATATACATCTCCATGGAGAAAAGCAGGCCCTCCACCAGAAAAGTTACACAATGCACCTTTAAATCTTTAGAGATGAAGAGAGGTTGACATGGTGCAAAATTGCGCTGGATAGACAAATGGGTTAAAGCATTTGCTAAAGTTGTACTGGTGAACCTTTCTCATCCTTTGCAATCTCCACTGAGCTGTTGATGTAAGCAGCCACTTTCCCGGTGGTGAAGTCACATCTCTGCTTGTGTCCGGTGTATGAGTAATCATTCTCTGTCTCCAGACCACCTGAAAACAAGACACAATACTATTTAAAAGGCCAGTATTACATTATTTTCTGATCTATGTTATAATGTTGTTTTCATCACAAACACACCTGGAGTTGTGTTTGTTTCATTCACACATGTTTAACTCACAAACCAACTACATATTTAGGCTGAGATCTTCTCACAAACTGAAAACACTCCACACACCTCCACAAAATCCACACAACTTCACTAGAATCATTTGGATAATTTCAAACCTGGAACTGCCAGTCTCTATTGAACAAAAGATAAAAGGAGCTGTTAACATGAAAACTACCACTAGATGACATCACAAGGTGGGGCAGAGCATTTTCAGCTTTGGAGACAGACTAATAATACATGATTACTCAAACATGTGTGAACCAAACAAAACACAACTCCAGGTCTGTTTCTGAGGAGATAATGACATTCAAACATGTCTTAAAGCTCAGAAAGTCAATTTTGTGTGATAAAGGACCTTTAACTAGTTTAGGCCCTCTACTGACAACATGTAGCCAAAAAATAAGGTTACTAAGTTATAAACATGAACTACACTACGTACATGTCATTCAGTAGTTACATAATACAGAATGGGACCTTTAAGACAATGTTATAACAAACAGCTGTTCTTACCCAGTTTCTCAATAGCTTCATAAGCGTTTGAAGGCAGCCCTCCTCTGCAGGCCTGGTCCAGTCCATCACAGTCAACTAGCTCTAGAAAATATAATATTTCAACAGTTTAGAACCTGTTTAGGCATCTTTAGTCATTACATTACATTAGGATATGTACATTATATCGTTAAGCATATATTAATTTCACTCACACTGATGAGTCAAAGGTTCATTGTGTAATTTTTGTGGTGGAGGGTCAGTCAAATGCTCTTCTCCATGGAGATGTCATTGCTTTGTCTGGAATGTTTCACACTATGATGTTAAACCTTTCTATCTTCACAGAGACCAAACCAGACCAAGTTACAGGTCAGATCTGTGGAGAGGCGACCCCGCTCACAGTCTGTCTGTTTTTCTAAGTATGTTTTAGCTATAAAACCACCTGTAATTGATTAAATGCAAGGTAGAGCTGTTTAATGTGGGACATTCCAGTCAGAGAAGGTGACGGACCCCCAACCAAAACATTACATAGTGCACCTTTGAGCACAAACTAAAACTGATGAGTTATGAAAATAGATTAAATAATACTTAGCAGCTCAAGACACTGCTCTTTAGACAGGAATTTCATTAACTGTGTCTGTAATTCCTCTGTTCTTGTTTATGTTGTTTTTATGTTGTTTTGCTCTGTAAAGCACTTTGGGATTTTTTATTTGTGAAAGGTGCTATATAAATAAAGATTTACTTACTTACTGTATATAGTAATACTGTTATACTTTGTACTTTAACGTACCTTGTTCAGAGAGAGAGAGCAGAGAGCCATTTTTGAGGAACCACTGTCCCTCAATGTTCCCAATGACAGAAAATGCCCAACAAGACCCACACGCCCCCTGCAAAAACACAAACAAGAAACAGGCATTCAATGAAGAGGCGCCCCAAAACAAGAACACCTCTATGGACACAAGCAGGTGGCAAAGATCACTCTAGTTAAGATTTCACAAAACTGTTAAACGTTTTTTCCCAATTTGTCAATTTTTGAGGTTTAAAATTTTACTTCCTGGTTGGAAATCATGACATCACACTAGGGAATTCCATAACTGTTACCTAGCAACCATCTTGTACACTGGGCCAATACTCCTCTAATGTGCACACAGTATATAAAATAGAACTCTCTACTTCCTGTAATTTTCAACATATTTTTTAACTTTTTGACACAAATTGCTTCTGAAGTCAAAATTACAGAATCATCAAAGCCTGTAATACAAACTCTAATAATAAATTGGTGAAATATTAATTTATAGTAGCACTAGTTAAAGGCAGATCAGTGACCTGGTTCTTGACTGGGCCGACTGCTCCATGCTCCCTCCAGTCCCAGCTGTCGGGCGCGGGCTGAGCAGCAGGGGGCGCACTCTTCATCTGTCTGTGCTGTGTCCACTGACTCAGCATCGGGTTCAGATACACAGAACGAAATTCCTCCTCTGAGCACGAGACAGCAGAAAAATAAATGTGTGGAAATACAAAAAATGTCTACTGTTAGTTATAAAGAGTTCAGATTAGATCGTGTGAATTTAGTATAGTTTAAACATCCTATATTACGTGATAATGTTATAATGTTGTTACCTTCTCAAAAACATACCTGGAGTTGTGTTTTGTTTCATTTACACATGCTCTGTTCCACCTTGTGATGTCATGTAATGGGAGTTTTCAAATTAACAGCTCCTTTTACCTTTAGTTCAGTAGAGATTGGCAATTCCAGGATTGAAATTATCCAAATTATACTAGTGAAGGTGTATGGAGTTTAAAAACACAGTGGAGCACTTCTTGTTTTAACACATGACATCACAAAGTGGAAAACGTGTGATGAGAGAAGAAATCAGCCTAAATATGCAGCATTTGTGTATTAAACATGTGTGAATGAAACAAAACATAACTGATGAGTAAACAACATTGTAACAGAGATCAGAAAATAGCGTAACATGTGCCATTTTATCTGACAGGGAAGACTCTTCTTTACTTCAGAAAGTCAGAATTATTATTTTTTTGACACACAGAAGAAACAAACAAGTAAATACGCCTATATCTATTTAAACTAGCCACAACACCCAAATTAAGATTAAGTTGTTGTTTTTTTTATTTTAAGGGGGGAAAAAAAGGAACTGGAACTTGCAGTGCTGTAATTTATGCAATACAAGGTAAGCATAATAATATTTAAGATTTTACTAAAAAATAATCTTACTTATTACTTTGGCGAAGTTTATTTTCTGTACTTGCTGGTTGGATGCTGGCAGCAGATGGCATACAAAGAGGTAATTCCATAACTGCTACACTACACTGCATATTATAGTTATGATTAAATTAATATAACACCTTTCTCTTGTTAAATTAAGGTTTAAAATGCCTTCCTCAAGTGTAAATTGTCCTGCATTTCATCATTTTCAGTGTTCACGATGACATAAGTGGAGGTTTTCCGTTTTAGAATGCAACACTACTTCCAGTATTTTTGTACTTTTCTTTGCAACTTTTTCCCCCACAAACTGCCACTTTTCTTTTCTGCTCTGTCACTTTCTTGTCTCCATGGAGATATTATTGCGTTATCTGGAATGTTACACAGTATGGCATTAAACGTCTATCCAGCATTTATTTTATCAAGTTTTTTAAATTGGAAAAAATACCACAGAAACATGAATTCCCACTGTTACTGGGGTCCCCTCTTCACAGATCTGACCTGTAGCCTGGTGACGTCTCCATGAAGATAAATAAGCTTATAGCCATACTGTAGTCAGTCATTCCAGTCGAAAGGAATAACATCTCCATACAAGCAGGTGGTGGACCCTCTGCCAGTAAAGTTACGCAGTGCACCTTTAACTGATGTAAAATTATATCTACCACAGAGCTACTATCCCACTAAACCAAGTCATAATTAAAAGCATGAAAAGCTGCCATATGCACTTTAAACCCATAACCACAATATTTAGAGGTGCAAAATGACCAAGACCTTTTTGATTTCATCTTGTCTTATTGAGAAAATAACAAAAAAAATGTCTTTCAGCAATAAATTCCTGAACACAAACAAAAATAAACTTTAAATTATTGCTTCTTAACTGAAAACACAGTCAAATTTCTTCCTCCAAACCACAGACTGTAAACAGAAGTGGACTAAGTGAGTGTGATGTAACCCCTGGCGTTCGGCTCCAGTCAAATGAAGCTCACTGAGGCTTGCGGTTATAGGGGCGAATTTGTTTAACGGACAAAATTGTGAAATAAAAACACCAGGATAATGTAGAGCATGTTAGCTATTTCCATTTATATATACAGTCTATGGTCCAAATAAAAGTCTGACCTCCAAACCAAAAGTGCCTTTACTAACACAAGAGTGGCTGTAGACTTCTGATGATTCTTATAGACGTAATAAAAGGTCATAAAAGAGATAGACAGAGATAGATAGATAGATATTTTATTGATCTCGAGGGAAATTCAAGATCCATAATGTGGACAAATGCCTTACCAGTCAGATCACTGAACTTGGTGACTCCGTACTCCGCTGAGCCCTGGTCCAAAGACTGGAGCTTCTCTGCTGTCTTCAGGTTTTCATGAAAGATTTTCAAACGACGGTCGGCCTCTGAAAAAACATATCTAATTTAGAGTCTTACTTTATTATAGAGTTGTGCTTTCTTTTATATTTCCATGTGGCCTTATATCTGTGTAATCCGTCAGTAAAAGGGAAGTAAAAGTAGAGAAGAGGCTACTTAAGTATACCTTTTAAGGTTGATACTTTTTAAGTTTACACATTATGTTTGAGAGTAGGACTGAAAAGTAAAAGTGTTTTATATGATAGCTTGAGACCTGCTGAAAAGCCATTTATAGTTTGAGCAAAAAAAAAGATAGAATTAGAGACAGCTACAAAAAACCTTTATTAGACCTCTAAACATTCACAAAATACTTTTACTTTTTACTTTAAGTACATTTTAAACAGGTACTTTAACACTTTTACTTAAGTAATGTTTTTTTCTTGTGATGCGTTTACATTTGCTTGAGTATTTTTTTTGCTCTGGTATCTGTACTGTTACTTAAAGGTTCACTGTGTAACTTTTCTGGTAGAGGTTTTGTCAAATATTGTTCTCCATGGAGATGTTATTGCTTTGTCTGGAATGTTTCACAGTATGGCATTAAATCTTTCTATCTTCACAGAGACCAAACCAGACCAAGTTACAGGTCAGATGTGTGGAGAGACAACCCCGCTCACTGTCAAAATGTCCGTTTTTCTAGGTATTTTTAGCTATATAAAACCACCTGTAATTGAATAAATGTAAGGTAGAGCTGTTTAATGTCCTACTGTGGAACATTCCAGGCAGAGCAATGACATATCTATAGAAACAAGCAGTTGAAGGATCCTCCTCCAGAAAAGTTACACAGTGCACCTTTAAGTAACCAAACTGAGTATGTGTGTATTACATTGTAGCAATCATTGTTACTTACCATAGGCTGACCATAGGCTGAATAAAAAAGTGGATTAAGGCAGTGTAATGTCTCCCATAGCATATGTGTGTATTACACTGTAGTGAGTGACAGGAGTGACAGACCTTCTTGTGTGCTGTAGTCTTTGTTGTATTTCACCATGAACTCTTTAAACTGGCCCAACAGCTTCATAGACTTCACCTGCACAAGTTCAACAAGTTCAGTCATCAATATTTGTCTAGACCTTTGTTTAGACCATTTTTTGTTGTGGTTTAGTCTTGGGCTAAACCTGGTTTAGTCCTGATTTAGTCCTTGGTTATTTTTGGATCAAACCTGGATTAGACCGGGGTTTGACCTGGTTTAGTCTTTGTTTAGTCCTGGTTTATTCCTAGTTTAGTCCTGATTTAGTCCAGGTTTAGTCTGGGTGTACCTCTTCTGCTTGAGCAGACGAGTCCTGGATCTGGTTGGTTTCTTCAGGGTCCACTGTGAAAGAGAGTGCTCCATTATTCTTTGTATAAAATATCTTTTATTCACATGTTACACACAGACATGTGAATAAAATTGATAAAAATACAGACCATATAATTCCAAACAACTGATACAGTAATAGAAACTTTTAAAATATTTTGTAAATGTAAATATTTTGCTCTAAACTTTTGTCATTATCTTCTAATATCTAATGAACCGAAGCCCACTTTAATGCCCGTCCACATTCTGAAAGTCATTTTTCCCTTAATTTTTCTCATAATAAAATTAAACTATTATTATTATTTTTCTTTTTCAAATATTATGAGTAGTCAAAAGTAAAAATAGGCCTTGTGGTCATTAGTTACCACATAGCTGATTTGTCCCAAGCTTAATGAAAATAATAATAATAAAATATGGGGAAAATGAATGGAAAATTGCCTCCTGGAACCTTGCAATGGATCACTGCTAAACTCTGACTCGTATTGTAAACCAGTATTGAGTATTTGAAACCCACATTTAGGTTCACATTTCTGTTTGAGCAGAGTGGAGCTGCCCTCCCAGGGGATGTCCCAGACCTCGAACAGACAAACCTCCTTCTGAAATCACAAAATCACACAGTGAATAAACACCTGTTATACCAACATACCAACATGAATGTCACTACTGCAGATACAGCACACAGAGGGGAGGTTTCATTTGTCATTTAAATCACAAAGATAAGATAAACAAAGGCTGATGTTTGTCTGGATTACAAAATCAGAGGTGAAAGAGAGATTTTCTAAAGTTACAAATGTCACTCAACTACAGTTACTAGTACTGTAAAAAAAAAAAAAAAAAAAAAAAAAGTAAGATTATAAACTATTCCAAGTAGTACATATTGAGTGCTTTCCCTTCCTTTCCTTCACTACAACCAATACTGATGACTGTTATAAAAATCTACTACTATTATACTTCTACTATCACAGTACTGCCATAAATACTGCAATTGTTACTACAACCAGTCAGGCAAGCCCATTGATACACTTACACTACAATATTATTATAGTGGAGCTCAAAGTACCGCTCACTCCGTACTTCGCTACAGTTCTGAGAGTAAATCTTCCGCTCATTATTCACACAGACTTTTAAAAATTCAAATATTAAGATTTCAAAGGCATAGCAGAGTCTAACCAGCTATGCACTAGTATCCATAACGTGATTGTTTGAGGTCCAAAAAGCATTTTTATAACACAAGATTCAGTGAAATGCTTTAATAACTTTACAGTTTATAAAGAAACACATTTTCAAATAAAATGATTGATCTTGTAGTCCTAAGCAAGCTTTCAAACTTTAATATTATTATTATTATTATTATTTATGTTTTGTTTTTTTGTTTTTTTCACAAAGTCAATAGGAAAAATGAATGAGAAATTGACTTCAGGAAACAGGGGGTGGGCGGTCACTGTAAAGCTCCATTGATACTAATCAATTTATAATTGTGATTTAAATTATTTCTCTATGCATTTACATTTTATTGTAATTGAAAACTGATCTGAATAATAAACATATGTAATAAACACATTTAAAAACATTATTACAAGATTACATGATTGAATAACTACAATTCTTTAGTGACAAAGAAAACAGACTTTCTTTTGCTGCTATGAGTTAAGTCCAAGTCACAAGATCAGGAGTGTGAGGACGGAGTGAACAAATAAAGGACACTGTTGCAATTACATTTAACCCTGAGTTCACAGACTTCCTCATTCTGGTCAGACCTGGTCCAAACGCCAAACTTCCCCGAACACTTAAAAAACATTTAAATTAACTAAAATAAACCACAACACAAAACAGTGCAGCGAACCTTGAGTCTCTGTGGCTCTGGATCAAAGTCACAAGACCGGAACGTGGCTGACTTCTTACACTGTGTGTTACTGAGCTCCACTGTGAGGGAGTAACGAATGCCTTTCACCACCTAAAAAACAAATACACATTTATGACAATATATCACTTAATTACTGGCAGTCCTGTTCTGTCTGAAAGATTAGAGATTAGAGAGGGCATAGTTTGTCAGTTTGGTTTATTAAATCTTTGATTGCTCTTACACTTATGGTACATAGACCATAGAAAAATTTGGACTAAACTGAGACTAATTTCAGAGCCAATCCTGGACTAGACCAGAACTAAACCAGGACTAGAACAGGACTAAACCAAAACTAGAACAGGATCAAACCAAGTCTATATCAGAACTAAACTGGGCTCAAACCAGGAGTGTGAGCAAGTTTATAATTGATTGACTACCAGGTTGAAGCCGTGCTTACATAAACGTTTAGAAGTGTTCAGAATCTTTTTATTCACTGATAATCATTAACTATACTTAAGTGTAGTGTTGTGTGTTTCTATTTAACAAGTAGCCTGTTACATTTTTTGCTTCTGAATTGTAAGTTGGTGAAATAACAGGACAACTGTTTTTTTGGGTTTTTTTTTTAGGACAAACAGTTACACAATCAAAGAGACAAAGGACTAGACAGCACATCACATTCTTGTGATTCTGGTATCATGAATAGTCTAATACCTGCTAGCATATGATAGGTAATAAAATATTAACAGTTTTGTAAAGGTTTTGGTGGAGCTGCAGTCTATTTCAGGAATAACAGGATATTGATAGAAATCCATGTAATTTGTAAAGTACCCAAATGGAATTAAGGAATTAAATATTTGCCGGAAAGAAGCCATCCGTAGAATTAGGGCATTTGTGTTTTAATTCATTCTTTATTTAATCAGCTACTATCTCTCATAACTCATAGACATGCTATTGCTTACTTTATTGACAAAGTAGGATCTGGTATAGGTCTTCATTTCATTATGATGACACAAACACTTGGCTTGTTGAGGACATAATGTACTTCAATGTAGCAGGCCCATTATGAACGATAGTACAGTGTCGTTGTTGTTGTTCTGACAGCAGATCCTGAACGCACCATCACTCACTGTCCCATGACGAAGCGATTAACACTAACATAGCTCTCTATGGAATAATGCGTTGTTACATTAGCCTCAAGTTACACGTGTATTCCTAAGTACTTAAAAATATTAGTTTATTTTAAGAAATCCATGAAGCAGTTCTATTTTTATCTGCATGTTGTTATGTGAATGACCTGTTTAGTGGCGGAGATCAGTCGGCTGACTCTGCGCAGATGCATGGCGTTAGAGCCCCGATTGTAGCGCTCTTCGGCGAACTGCAGCACTCTCCTAAGACCGGGGTCCGAGTTCTGGAGCAGGGTAGGAGATCCAGGGGCCGGCTCGGTGTCCTGGGTCCGGGGAGGGGAGCCTGGAGGTACGAACAGAGGACGCTGGAGATCTATGCCGAGCGCCACAGACACAACCAGACACAAGAAAAACAGCAGATTAACGCGAAATGAAGCCGCCATTTCGGCCTCTGACAGCGGAGTAAGAAGACAAAGGGAATACGATCAATAAAACTCCGATTATACAAAGAGATGTTTGTTTAGAGTTGGAGAAATCGATAATAAAGTCTCCACGAAGCTAGATGCAGCGGTGATGTGTTGCCAAACAAACGCAGCCAGGGCCGGGGGCGGAGACACGAGGTGTGTTCAAAAAGCTCTGGAAAAAAGTGAACAGCGTAGTAATAACACACTACAAATGTGTAGCGACCTACAAACTGTCGCAATGCTTTATGGGATTGTTTTTATTTGGGGCTAGTTATTCACAGGCAGTCATTTTCGGGGGGGAGAGTTCAGACCATGAGTTAGGCAGGAGTGTTTGAAATTTAACCCTGCACTGTTGCTATTGTGCCGGTTTTATTAAAGCTGAAATACGAGCGAACCTGTTCTCACGGTTTTCATTTCGTAACTGCCGTTACAATATTGTTCTAACATTATGGGAAGAATTATGTTTGTTATGTTTGAGTTTTATTTCTGTGTTTCTATGTATAAAACTCTTTCTCAGAAATCATATTGTGCTATTAAAAGTGTTTTTATAAACTATAAACTAAACTGTATTACCTTTATGATGTGTAGTACTGCTGCTGCTTATGGCCATCTTGGGCTTTCAGAGCTGCAACATTGCAGGGGCGACCAACACAGACGATGAGGTTTAGTTTAGTTTAGTTTATTAACCCTCCCGCGCTCCTGCTGGGTCAAACAGACCCAAAATTGTGTTTTTTTCCTTCATTTAAAGCCCTCCCGCTCTCCTGGTGAGTCAAACAGACCCAAAATTGTGTTTTTTTTCCTTCATTTAAAACCCTACTGCTCTCCTGCTGGGTCAAACAAACCCCAAATTGTTTTTTATTTATTTATTTATTTAATCACTCCTTGGGCCTGTGTACAACAGCTGTCTCATTTTCGTGCATGCACTACTGACTGCATACAGCAGGGGGCAATATTTTTTTTATTTTAATAAAGTGTCTATTAAATGAAGGGGGAAAAAATTATTTCGGGTTTGTTTGACCCAACAGCAGAGTGGGAGGGTTAAATGAAGGAAAAAACACAATTTGGGGTCTGTTTGACGGAAATTTTTTAAAGACCCGGAAAAGTTCTTCTCCTCTTTCCTGTCACAATAAGCTTTTTTTTTTTTATGATGAGAGTAACTATAGTAACTGTTCATAGTTCTGTTTCAGACATGTCCTCCTCCACCACCACCACCACCACCAGAGGCCTGAGCTCTGAGGAGACGTTCCTGTGCTCCATCTGTCTGGAGGTGTTTGAAGAGCCAGTGTCCACTCTGTGTGGACACAACTTGTGCAGACGCTGCATCTCTCAGGCCTTGGACACTGATGAGCCCTGCTGCACATGTCCTCTGTGTTATGAGGTGTTTCACAGCAACAGCAGACCAGAGCTCAAGGTCAACATGCTCCTGAAGAAGGAGATGGCCTCAGGGACTAACCTGCAGAAGAACAAGAGCAGCAGCTGCAGCTCTATGGAAGACAGGCCAATGTTTTAAGATGAACGGTGCTACAAATCCCAACGGGTCATAGACTGAAGCTACGGTGCACAGGACTCTTCTTCTTGTCATAGGGTGCTCTTTTACTGTTATTCGGAACTGAAACTCATCAGAAGACATGCACCACTGCACACCAAGAGCTCTTTCCAGGAGTGGCTCTCCAAATGCTAAGTCCAGATCTTTAACACTTTCACCACACTCTTCTTTGGGTAGTGATTTTAACACATTTTCATTGTTTGATATGAATTTATGGAGTCTTAGTTTACCTGTTGTACAAAGCTCTCTTGCTTCTTTGACTAGTTTTATTGCTTCTTCTTCTGACATCATACTGACAAGCCCATCATCTACATAAAAGTTCTTTTGAATGAACTTAACAGTACCTGGGTCAAACTTGTCTTCACCTTGTGTGGCTAGATGTTTTAAGCCAAAGTTAGCACAGTCAGGTGATGAGGCTGCACCAAAAAGGTGAACCTTCATGCGGAAGACCGAGGGGTGGAGTGCTTATATCACCATACTCCCACCATAGAAAACGTAAATAGTCCTGGTCTTATGGTCTAACATGGAACTGGTGAAACATACGTTCCACATCACACATTACAGCAACTGAACCCTTCCTGAACCTACAGAGTACTCCCACCAATGTATTTGTGAGGTCAGGCCCTGTGAGCAGGTGTTCATTTAGTGAAGTGTCCTTGTATTGTGCAGAGGCGTCAAACACTACATCCTCTGACTCAGCACTAAACAAAAGAAAAGGAAAAAATGTTAGCTTGTGTGCTTGTGTAAAACTTGTGTATTACATATGTACTACAACAAGTCTAAGTCTAGTGCAGCAGGAGCAAACACAATGCACAACCCCATCCCCCACCCAAATGGTGTCAAGATATTATGACCTCACTAATGAGGACAACCACACATCCCAAACCACTTCATCCCACTTTACACATGTAGTTTGTAGCTAATTATTACAAACAACAACATACATGTCATAAGTCTAGTGCAACACAGGTAAAGTTGTCTGAAGTTCACAATCTCATCCCCCACCTAAATGATTATACCCCTCACGCATCAAATAAAACTGTATCCAAACAATACGTAAATAGGCATTACGCATGCTACTATTATGTATTTACTCCCGTTTACTACAAGTGTTGCATGATGTTTGCTCTAAATAATTATGAAATATTTGCTACTTACTCTTCAATAGGGTCCAGACCCTCCAGGTAATCCAACTCTTCATCTGTATAAAAAGTGTCCACATCGGACTCGGCGTCACAGCCAGGCTCCGTTACCATCGCCACTGCTTCCAGCAAGGAAAGTGACGCTTTGCGTGCCATTTCTGTTCGTTCGTTCTTTCTTTCTTTCTTTCTTCTGATAGACTTCCCGGAGCTCTTTATCCTCCGTGCGCAAAACAACAATGCCTTGGCACACGAATGTGCGCCGGGTCTACGCCAAGCGCGCATCTGCGCGCACCTGCTCACACCCGCGCGCACCCCGATTCATTGCTCGACACTAGGCTGTTTACGTCCTGTTGGGTGTATTATGTATCATTTGCAAGTTAAAAAAAAAAACTTTTCAAATGAGATGCGTAATTTGCCATTTACTTGAGAAATAATGGTACTTAGGCCTGCTTCATCGAATGCTATGAGCACAGTAGCTCAGAGGAGTAAGCTATCTTCACTTACAACAATCTTTGGCAAAGTTTGAAATGAAAATGGATGGAGCGCGTCACGCGCCGAAGAACGAAGTTCCTATTGGACACCTGTTTTCACTACGTCACCACGCAGCGTGCGTGTGACGTAGGATGATGCCGGAAAGATGCTCGTAAAGCCACGGGTCTTAAAAAAAAAAAAAAAAAAAAAAAAAAAAAAAAAGCCACGGGTCTTATCTATACAAGGGGAAAAAATTAAGTCTCTATCTTTTATGGTTAAAAAGTTATGCGCGGTTATGTAAAACATGTCCGCCGGTATCGTATACGATACCGTCGGTCTGGAAGGGTTAATGTTCACACTGGAGTCACATACAAGTCACATTTAATTGGAAATGTGAACGACCTCGCAAAAACATCAGATTTCATGAAAAAAAAAAATCCGAATTGAGCGTTAAGTCCTGCAGTCTGAACGAAGCCTTACTTACTATAACTATGGACTTGTTGTGTTGGTGAACAAATTGACCCATGTCTAATACTAAACTTTTAAAAATCTGTCTTATTTAACATCCGCTTTTGTTGTCATTCATGTTCAGGTGTTTGTGGTGACGGAGTTGTGCGACAACGGAGACCTCTCTAAGCACATAAAAGCCAAAGGCCCACTGTCTGAGGAGTTCAGTAAAAGAGTCTTCGTCCAGCTCTGCGACGCCGTTCAGTATCTCCACCGAATCGGAATCGTGCACCGAGATCTGAAATGCGAAAATCTAGTTTTGGATCGAAATAACAACATTAAAGTGTGCGACTTCAGCCTGAGCAAGAGACTGAGCTACACAGACGGACAACTGGATTTAAGCAAAACCTTCTGCGGCACCAGTAACTACATGGCTCCAGAGATCTTACGCAGTTTAGCATACAACCCCGTAGTGACTGATGTCTGGAGCATGGGGGTAATCCTGTTTAAAAATGCTCTACGACGCCTTTCCATTCTCCTCAACGAGAGCTCTCAAGATGGCGCACGTTAAAATGACACGCCACATAAAAATTTCCCAGACACACCCCACGTCTCACTCGAGGCCGTGGAGCTGATTCAGAGCATGCTTCACCCAAACGCGGCGCATCGGACCAGCATCCCCCGCATCCTGGAGAGTCCGTGGATGATGCAGGACGAGCGGGTAGAGGGCGCCGCCGAGTCTTCCGAAGCAAAAGGAGGAGAGAAGACTGGTGAAGATAACAAGGATTCTGATGAAGCAATGTGAAACTGTCACGGCAAAAGCGCAAACGTCAAGAGGAGATGATGGTTTTTAATAAACTGTTTATAAAATGTATGTATCAAAGATTAAAAGTTCAAGTTATTTCTTATAATAGACATAATTATATAGAATTGTGACATTTGTTGTAGTCTCTGCTGTTGTGAACTTAAGGTTACTTACTTAAAGTCGGGCAGCAGTAGCTAAGTTGGTAGTGTTTGTCCACTGATGCAAAGGTTGGTGGTTTGAATCCCACTCTCAACATAAACATCATTGTTAGATTCACTGACTGTTACGTCCCCTTTGCTAGAGGAGAAAGGGAAGTAACAATAAAACCAGGATGTTTAAGGTTTAACAGTGTAGGAAAGAACAAAAAAATTGGCATTTAAGGAGAAAATAAAAAGGATTTAAACAAAATAATCTAATAACTAAGGAGCCCTAACTAAGTACAACATAACAAAATCTAACTCAAGTTGTACTGCGAACAAAAAGGAGTCTCAAAGAACTAAAGGAGGCAACAGCCGGCAATATAACGAAACGAGACAACCCAAAACATCAAATAAAAAGGCTCGGCTGGATCACTGCTCGCCCTTTTTGTTTTAGTTGTAGAGAAGCAACGACGAGGAAATCTTCACATAAGAAGTTTTGTCTGATAAAAGAAAATAAAAAGCCCAGACTTTAGTTAACTGTATTAAAAATATTATTGATAAAAGACGAGGAGACACTGACTGGTTTAGTCCTGGTTTA